GCCAGTGCTGCCTGAAGACGTCTCCGTGGTCATGTGGCCCAGGATGACTAAATGCCACAGGCACATGGAACGCTGTAACCTTCCCACCAAAGGTGGTCCCTATTGCATTTTTTACGTGCTTTCAAACTGCTAGGTTGGCAGAAGCTGTGACAAGTAATGGGAGCTCACCCCGTTACGCGGCACTAGAGATTCGAACCGCTGAACTGCCGACCTTTCGATCGACAAGCTCAGCGTCTTAGCCATTGAGCCATCACGTCCCTTTTTCATTAAACTAGACATCCCCAATTCCTGTTCTTCATATGTTTTAGCCTCCCCTAATCCTCTTTGCTGCTCTTCTCTGCACCCTTTCTAGAATCTCAACACCTTTAAAATAAAATCCGTCTGGGGAGTAGCTTGTCTTTGCCTGCATCAAGGAAGCAGCCGTGGGGGTCCTACTTGTCTATCCCACCCTCCCACTCACTCTAAAAAAAAAAAAATTCCGCGGAAGTTCGAAGGAGGAAGAATCCTTAGTGCACGGACTGGACTGCTAATAAAAGCAACGAGATATGGCTTTATGGTTATTTTGCGCCCTGTTTCCCCCTGGCATGGCCTTCCGAAATGGATGTTGCATGATTTAACAGGGAATGGATGTTGCATGATTTAACAGGCACTAAGAAGGATGCTATCTTGATCCGGGGAGGTGAGGTGGGGTGGGAGGAGAAAAATAGAAGAGAAGTGATGAGAGAAGAGGGGTGGGGTGATATGTGAGCAGCGAGCAAGCGAGCGGGGAGAGAAACAGTTTTTATTTTCAACTCAGACCCTGGCATTCTCTCCCTCCCAGCCATTTTGCACGCCTGCCCAATTAAGAAACCTGACCTGCTGTTTAAATAATCAAGGGGAAGGGTAATCAGGCTCCTGGCTTGACAGGCCGAGATCTTGTGGAGGGGGGGGGTATTTGCCAGCCGGCCCTGGGCTCCAGGGAGAAGCTAGTCCCAACAACACCTGGGAGGAAGACGTCGTCGGGGCTGACGCTTGGGTGGTGCCCAGCATATGGCAGGGACATCCATATGCGGCTCATCCCTTGTTCCGCGCCTCGAATTTGATGAGCTGGGTGCCCTCCTGGTGGGACAGACTCAGCTCCAGGAAGCAAGCGCCATAGCAACCGTGGTGGAAGAGGGTGGGTGGGTGGGTGGGGGCAACGTGAGTGAATTTCTAAAAATTGAGCTCGCCTCTGCAAGGGAACCTCTTATTCCCCCCCCCCCCAAACCTGGTTCACCCCTGCCCCCCCCCCCCTTTTAGCGGGGAAAAGGGGCCGCCTTGCTTTCTCTCCCCTTGCCCTGACGTGAAATCGATTTAGCCCCCCCCGCCCCCCCAGTGACAGCCAGATGGCTCCTGCGATTTCACCGTCTTGTGGACTTGGAGAGGAGAGGAGGGAGAGAAAAGGATGGGTTTTTCGACAAGAAGCCCACCAAACGAGCCAGAGTGGCCCTATCCCTAAAACTAAATGCCTAATCCAAAGGTTCACCTAGAACAGGGGTCTGCAACCTTAAACACTCAAAGAGCCATTTGGACCCGTTTCCCACAGAAAAGGAAACACCGGGAGCCACAAAACCCTTCCTGTGCCTGACTATTTCCTGAGCGGCCACAAAACTAGCCTATGTAGTTGAATTAAACCTTCTGGTTTCTTCTGAAACTTTTCTTTTCTTGGATTTATCCATGGTTGGCCTACCGGGAGTTGAAAATCACATGCCGGCAGATGTCATACATTGGTGGTTGTGATGCCTATTTTGAGTGACAGGGAGCCACAGCAGAGGGGTGAAAGAGCCACATGCGGCTCCAGAGCCGCAGGTTGCTGACCCCTGACCTAAATCAAGCTGAACGTGTTAAGACAGAGAATAATAAGAGTTGGAAGGGACCTTAGAGGTCTTCTAGTCCAACCCCCTGCTCAGGCAGGAGACGTTATCAGAGGTGGGCTTCAAAAATTTTAGCAAGGGGTTCTCTGCCCGGCTGCTTGGCCATAGTGTGCGTGGCCTAGTCGGCCTCCTGCACCATGGTGGGGGTGGGGTTGGGGTTTGCCCTCCTGGGCTCCGGAGGCTTTCCTCGAGCCTCCGGGAGGGTGAAAATGGCCTCCCCAGGCTCCGGAGGCCCTCTGTTTCTGGCCTTCCTGAACTTCTGGTAGGCCCATTTTTCGCCCTCCCTGAGCCTCTGCACATGCCCTGCACTTACATCCAAAATGGGTCACGTGGGGACTCCTGGGAGGGGCAGGGTGGGGTGGGAGGGGCCAGCCAGGAATGAGATTTGAGGGTTCTCCGAACTGCACAGAATCTTAGCTAGAGGTTCTCCCGAACCCCTGCGAACCCCCAGCAGCCCACCCCTGCTACTAAGAGTGGCCCAATACCTAAAACTAAATGCCTAAACAAGGTTAACCTAAACCGAGTTTAACATGTTAAGATGGATAATAATAAGAGTTGGAAGGGACCTTGGAGGTCTTCTAGTCCAACCCCCTGCTCAGGCAGGAGAC